CGGGAATTAGTTGCACGTGCGAATTTTCTCTATACTTAACGCGAATATCTACTTTACTCGCCTCTTAAATTGTAATTCCAAAGTATCCGTCTGCTTCGGTTGCTGCACCAACGATTATATACAGCAATAAATTTTACGATCGAGGGAATAATTTAATATTAAATTCTAAGCTAATACTTGATTTGCGTGCTGACCAATTTTTGGGGCATAGAAACTCTGACGTTCTCTTTGAAAGTGAAACTATATACTAAATATAATATGTGATAATTATCATAAGCACTGTACTGTACTATCTAGTTCACGAGTATTCGAATAGAACTGCGTTATGTAATAATCGAATAATGACAGATCGTCCTGGGTTAATTTGGTAGAATTCACTATAACTCAACTTTAAAGAAATGTTCTCCTCATACTTTTAACCTCTTCTTGCGAGATTGCGAATTACTATAGTCTTTTTCACGTCAGTCAAATTCTGCTTATAATGGTTAAATTTTAAAAATGATTTTTAGCTTGAATTTGCATGGTTGAATGTGGCACAGTCAATTAGTCAATTGATTATAAAATCGACCAACTTCATTTTTATCATAGTCCGTAGACATGCCGTCGTCGTTAAACTTTTCAAGTTAAAGGTATCTATCCTGTTCCCTCAATATAGTTTTATGACTTTATTCATTGACAATACTGTGGGAGAAAGCTTTTACAAACTTGCAAAAACGTGCTGACGGGTAAATTATTCTCTCGTATGTTGTTTATATATTACACGTTAATTGGTATTTTACGTGAGAGTCTCCCACCTCAAAAAGGTTGTCTTCGCTGAACTCCGTGACAAGATGGCGGTTTTGCAAAATCCAGACATTGTCACTCCGGTTCTCAAGTTTAAATAACAAAGACACTCACGAAATGCCCGCGCTTTGTTTGAATGGAATAAGGCAAGCTTCAATGGCATCCCCGCATATTTCGGGACAGACTAAAGTGTCTATTATTGCAAGCCTTCTGGCGCACGGAGCCGTCGACTGTTTGGGTCTGAACATACTGTTTATTTTTCGAAACGCAATTTCAGCTTAAATTTTGCATTTGAAAATAGTTTGGTACGAGTCAATGTTATACATACGTAGTTGGATATTTGGCATCAACTAATACATTTTTTCTTACAGGACACAAAGACAAACGTGTGTTCCCGACGTCTGTAATGCATTTTTGAGAATTAATAAAATTACAGAACACACATATGCTGTAGAGCTTGAGAATTGTTTCTATGCATTTTTGTAACAATAAGGATGGTGGGTTTACCAAAGTATATTTGACTCTAGATGCTAATGAAAGTAAAATAAAATAACATGGATTTTGTTTATGTCGCGTAAGGAATAGACATTGAAATAAATAAATTCCTTTGGTTACTTAGGCTTTTTATATTTCTTACATTATAAAATAGTCACTATCAACTACGTGGAAGAGGAAAACGGTCGGCATCTGATAATTAATATTAATCCTCACAATATATAGCAACATGACGTATATTCATTCACAATTTCTGCGTAACTCCGATGGTATCACCAACCCTTCAGAATCGGCACAAGTTTACACACTAAGTAGGTGCCAGAAAACAAAACTTTGGTGCAATCTGGACCTGCAATACCGCAATATTAATAGCAGTCGTACAATAATTTAACTCTTAGATTAAGTTAGCACCTAGTACAGTAGTCAACACAGGCGAAATTGACAGTTCGATTAGATAGTGTGTAACAAAAAAAATAAAAATAAAAAATTTTCCGTTTTGTTAAAAACGCGTATAACTTTTCCAAAATAAATCCAATAAATGCAAACTTTTATGTTGAAATTTTAGCTCAACATACTCCTGAAACCAATCAGACGCTTGGTAAAGGTGGAAGTTCCAGCAGAACAATGACCCCAAGCATACAAGTAGAGTTGCTAAAGATTTTATTCAGAAAAATATTACACAAATTGTGGATTGGCCATCTAACAGTCCTGATTTAAATTCAATAGGAAATCTTTGGTGTATCGTTAAATATAATGTTGAGAGAAGGACGCCAAAATTTATGGAAGAGGAATGAATGGCAAAATATTTCAGAAGCGACTCTTATTAATTTACTCAATGAACGAAGATGTAAATTAACTATTGAGTGCAATGGTGAGCGCATCCCATATTAATTATTATTCAATAAATCTATGGGTTTTAAGCGTTTATTCAAACCAGCAAGCATAATAATTGACACAGTGGTTATCAAGTAATATCCCGATTTAAAATGTTTCTTTCTTTTTTTTTGTTACACACTGTATATACGAGGCGCAACTTTCCGATAGAATTAATCATGTTTGCATCATGTCACTTAATAAGTTTGATCATATTTATGCTCTTTAAATGTAATGTTCAATTAATATTTTATTACAATAAACGAGTAGTTCTTTTATACTCAAATACATTATTAATGATTGTTCTCTGGTAAATTACGGCATAGCTGAGAAACTTTATCATTTATGGGTATTTGCCTCTTGTCCCGTGATTACTCTCGTGGCAATTACGATAAATGTTCACTTAGCAACGCGTTGAGAATTATACGAACATTCAGAACTATAGATCATCGAAACTAATCCCATCGGCGGATAATCTCGAGAAACGACGTATTTACGTCTATAAATCGACTATTAGAGAGTCGTGAATAAGTAAAGCCTGATTGAAAGGTCACCAACTGTCATCATAATTAACTTAGCGAGTAGGAGTAGCCACAACTTTGTTAAAAGAAAGTTAAATTCCAATTGTCAATAGTATCCGCTCTCCCGTGACCGTTGACACGACAATACCCACATATTATTCCGAAGCCTCCAATTCCACATTCACCTCCACAACATAGGTGATAGTAAGATTTGTCCATAGAGCCTCTTCAAGAATTTCCTGACATCTTGAAAATTTCCCAGTTGACAAGTCAGTTTGTTCTGGACCCTAGTTTTTTTTTCTTAATTTTCCCTAGTCTTGTCATAAAGTAATTATAGGGGAGACTGCATGCATAAATAATGTGCGAAATTGCAGATCCCAAAGTTTTAATGATTGGGGATGAAAAGTGTAGGTGTTGGATGCAACAAGATGCGTATTTGGAGTTAAAATAGCGAATAGTATCGTTCCGTTTAATTATTTTTCACGTTAAACATGATTTATTCTGAGCGAGTAATATCCGTTTATTGAACAAGGTGTAAAACAAATAGTTTTCTTTACTCACTTTTGTTACGAGGTTTAAAAAGTATTTTAAATTTTTCATTTATAATCTTTTCGTTCGAACAAATCAGTTTCAAAATCGCTTGCAATAAGCTAACAAAGTTTTATGACAAAATGTTTCGTCGATTTTCAAGGACGTTATGCAGGATAAATCATGTTTATTTACAATTAGGGACGGTTGTTGAAGCAAAAATCATATGTTTGGACAGACTTTTAGGTAAATATTCTAAATCACCATCAATGTCAGTTTCAGAAATTTTAAGCATAGTTATCTTTAAAGCTTCTAGTGAACTATATGCTTATAATATTTATTCAAAATATGTAACGTATCTTTACCATATTTCATATTTAATATCATTAGGTAAATGAATACCAATGATTAATCTTTGTAGTTCTTTAATGAGATTTTTTTGAATGTCCAAAGGAGGAAAATTGTTATTAGATATATAAAAAGCTTCTAAATGAATATTGTTAGTTAATATTAAATCAATATCTGTTAGATAATTGTCACGACAAGAAAATTCAACTATTGTTTATATCTGCTAATTATAGGCTCTAACAAAGTTAATTCGTTCTCACTTTGCCTTACATATCTCTCTACCAAATTTCATTGAAATTGCTCACAAGTTTCTCTAAGAGGTTGTGTTTCAATGGCTGCTAATCGCTGCTACATCTTACTACCATGAGACTCATAATAGTAATATCACTTCCATTGTCAGGATGAAACTTAGGAATCACTGCGCTGTTGTAGCATGTCTTGCCTAACTGTTGCCCATGAAATACTCATAATATTACTCAAATGTTGAAATTTTTCATCTAAACTAGACAATTTACTCGTGCAAGATGTTTACTGGGTCCACAATGATTAAAAATACAAATTTTTTTATCTTTCCAAGTCATATTTCTGTATTTGTGAAGCTAAAGGTGAGAAAAGGAAGAAAAGAAGCCAATAAAAATAAAGCAAAAGAAAAACTGCTTGACTGGGATCCTGGTTATGTGATAACCATTCCTACCAGTCAGGGAATGACACTCGAAGCTCCATAACGCGTATGGGTTATCGATGAATATTGGCGTGGGACAATCTAATATATCTTGTCCCCAGAGGACTTGAAAAAGAAACTCGAAGAGCGTTATATTAAAAGATATTAGTCGGGAAGATCTTACGGGGTATGTCTTAATGAAATGGTATGGGACTATGAAGGATGTACTCAGACCAGTGGACAGTTGATCGAATCGACAACGAAATAGAACATATCAAGAGTAATGTGCGCCTCGCTTGTCCCGATGTAATCGAAATCATTCGAGTATAACCCACTCGGTGACTCACTCTATCAAAGCGATACCTTTATTGTATGCTTTTTCCCGACATAATACCGTATTCTTCCGAAAATAAGCAACATTTCGGAAAAATTGATCTATTTTATTATTGATTATTTCATTATTACAATAACACTATAACAAAAATACGGTAATTGTCTAGTCTGGATATGCAGATCACGGTAATCCACTAATACTAAAAATAAAGGAAACAATTGTCTTAAATTCCCAAATAGATAAGCTGATTTGGTGGGGGGTTTTTTCCCCCACGAGCTTCACAAAAGAGGCAACAAGTTCCAAGTTTGGTACAAATTAATGCTAAATATATAAATTTAAATTTGAGACCTTGAAAAGTTCCGACCAATAATCGAAGCTTCAATCACGGGTCATCCAGAAGTTTAGTCAAAGTCCGATTGATCGCATCTTATTCGAAAGGAAGCCGCTAAATTTTATAATGGTCAGTCTATAAATCTCTTTGGTTTTCTAGTCAACAAAATGCTCGATATTACTTCATAGCCTCACAAGTCCAGTTTGTCTGAATTCCAAGGAATACGAAATATATCATCAACCAACAAGATACGCCTCTGAGGATTCAGACTCTGAGTTTGAAGAGGAAACTTCTACCGAATATGAACCACCAATCGTTCATTTTATTCCTTCGAAACAAGGAAGTAAACTGCAGGCGAGAGTAATGATAATTGGAGTTTGTGGAGGCGGCAATGTATTTCTTGCCTCAGTCAATGGAAAGAAGTTGCTCGGGACGATGCTGCTTCCTGAAACAGATCTTGTAAGTCAAATCACATGTTGAAGAGCGAGCGTACATCAAAGATAGAGGAAATGATGGTTTGACGTTAGAATTCGTTATGATGGCATGGTTTACAAAGCTTACCCCCGTTTCTCCCTGATTCATTTAGAAGGGGAATACATTCTCTCAAGAGGCTCTCACACCTGTTTCTGATAAAAATTGCTTCTTCTATACGCTCGAGTCGGATCCTAGCGTAATCGTTGTCCCGTGTAATTATAACGTTAACGACGACAGATGTTTTATTTGGGCAAAGTCATTGTTTCAACACGTGGAAGCCGAATGGTTTGTAACCGTCGAGTTCGTGCTGATCTTCTATTCTGATACTACAAGTCTGTATAGTATGACAGACAAGATCGTCTTTATGTGTTTGTAGCGTGATAATTTTAGACGTGTTTACTGCTTCCTCTTTCATTACGTCTAATCGACTGGATGAACAGACGGCTAGATATCCGCCATTTGTTCGGTTGTTACAAACAAGTGCAGCGAACAAGGTGATTGTTCGAAATCCTAGTCATATAGTCTTGTGTTTGGGCAAAGTACAAATACGATTAATTAATTACTTTGCTTGTCGACTTGTTCCAACAGACTATAGACGTCCCATCATATGAAGCGCCTAATCTTGCATGTAATTTGACAGCAGCCATATTAAATCATGTGAGTAAACTACATGTAATTCTTGACTGTTAATAGTTGTTAACACAAGTATGTTTCATTCCCTATAGTGTGAAATACGCAACATTCCTGCATATGCTCTTTTCAGTATCCAAGATAGTCGACATGGAAAGACAATTACAACTTACGACACGCTCGAAGCCTATAAATCAGCCCTCTCTTTATTATTACCTGGAACCAAATTGCTAACAGACTTTGATCAATTACAGGAATCAAGAAAGGTGTCTCCTTTATATTTGTAATAGTCTCTTGATAACCAGGTGAAATGTCCAATGGAGCAAGAAACAAAAATGTATATCAACACATACTAAGTAAATATTATCACTATCCTATAATCAATACATAAAAAGCAAGATTGCTGCATCAATAATCAAACAAATTGACAAAATGTTTTGATAGAATATCAATATACAGTTACACTACAATAAGAGTCCTTTGATGGGAAAGTTCATCGCTCAATAATATGTGAGGTGAAATGAGATATAATAACGGGAGTAATAAAAGAAAGAGTGGATACATAAGGTATTATAATTTCACCTGGCTGTTCCTTCCGTAGTGAGGAATGCCGCACCTGTACGATGGGAATGCCATTAGAATGCAGACAGTGAATTCATAGTGTAAATACGCTAGACGACTTACCTTGACCATATCCGTATCCCTGAGTTGATCGACAAGTATATTAGTAAATACAAACTAAGAAACTGAAAGCAAAAACACACGAAAATACGCAAACACGCAAACACCACCACACTCTCCCCGGTAATTTGTTTCTTACCTTTGGACCGAATTCCTTTGAATAACACCCACGGCAATAAATCTTACTCTCTCGATCAGTCATGTTAGTTGAATCCAACAACTTACTACAACTACTGCATCTTAAACACAACTTATGATACTTCACTCCTGCACCCAACACAGCCTCTGCAGCATACACCGGTTTGTTGCATCTGGGGCACATATCGCTAGTTGCTGGTGCACTCCACCTTCGAGAATTGCCACGAGGGGACTGCGATCGAGAACTGAATATGCTATACGCAGGCGACATGGATCTCGGAGAGGTGGGCGGAGAAGCGCATCTCTCGATGGGTGTTGTGGGAGAAGTCGGATCAACACCAAGTTTGGAGGCAGGTTTTTCTGTATTCAGGAATGACGTTCCTGAGGCGAAACCATAGCCTTTTGTCGGGAGAGAGAGGTAGGGGAAAGGGAGAGAATAGAAGCAATTAGTATTAAAATTCAGAAATGGTATGGTGACAGAAACATAAGGGAGTGATGAATTGCCGGCAAAATATGCGAGTTGTAGCAAACAAGAGCAGCAACTCGACGAATATCCAACGGCTTACCTTTTGGACCGAACCGACGTCCGTGACAGTTCTTGCAATAAGCCTGTACGGAAAGAGAACGAGTTGATCAGCATGAAAGAGACGAATGTTTCCAATTGTTCGCAACGACATACCTCCCCCTCATGCTCTGCCAGAGTATAAGAGTCTAAGCGTTTCTTACAGTCCTAGTTGTACAAGAAAACGTAATGGTAAATCACAAACAAGCCAAAATCGAGATTGTTTTCGATATCCCCCTTGCGCCTTCTTCTTCTACTTACAATACAAGTCAAACAGGCCTTATGCCAAGGTCCATTGGGCCCGATTACCTGCGGAAAGGAAAAAACAAGAGTGAATACAATCACGCTCTGGGTATTAAACTGACTTGCGGTTTTCCATTTGGTTCCACCAACTTTTATTCCGTTATATTTTTTACTTTTCATGTGCACCCTTCATACCTGTTCAGCCATATAAACGGACTTTTGGCATCGTGGACAAGTTGGTGTGCCCCAAGGACTAGACATTTCTCACAGATATATTAGAGCAGTCGTTACAAGTCGTTAGTCGGTTATATCGTACCGGGGTGTGTGGTATCGGTTGTGAGGGTTTGGGGGGCCGTTGGTGGGTGGTGAGGGGGGTGGACTGAAAAGTAGTAGGACTTTTAGAATTTCGTAACAGAAGACAAATAAAAATACTATGCAAAAGACCTGCTGCACGACAGATGCGAGCTTAAGGGGCGGGACCCATTGTGGACACAAAACCTTGAGGGAATATGCTTGTTGGTGTCACATTAGCGATTTGTTCGTTTACGAATTAGGTTTACGCAATTTAAGGAAGTTAGGGATGAAAATATCTAAAATCAATATTTTTGATGTATTTATTATTTGTCCCCACGTCATAAGCAGTGGCATGATTGATGAGTTGATGGATTGTCGATGGGTTGGTGTGTTGATTTGTGTTGATGTGTTGTGTGTACTTGGTATGTACTGGGCTAATACTAATCGAATGTGTGACTACTTTTATTGTTAATATTAAGGAGAAGCAATATTAATATTGTGTGTTCATTAAATTTTGGTGCTATCCCATGTTAATTCACGTGGTTCTAGATAAATGTGTTAGTAGGCGAGCTTGCACGTCTGGAAAACCGCCGTTTTTAAATGTAAAGCATTATTTTATTAATGAGGTGACACTGCTGACAAACGGATTTGATGCATAAAGACAGGGACGTCGTTTTATCGAGGGCAAGGTTTTTTGTTCTTTGCGGCAGAAAATAAGTACAAGGAAATGAGCATTCTCAGATGTATATGTGTGCTCAGATTCGAAATCTCTTGTGTCATTCCGTTCAATATTTCATTCCGTTTATTATTATTCCTAGCACTTTCTTGCATTGTGTATCTGTGCTACGCGTGTCCTAGATGTAATTTAGTCTCACCTTTTCTTGTGTGAAACAAAAGCGAATATTTGCCGAAAAAACCCCCAACTTGACGATTTCATGTATTGCATTGAAATATGCTTTAAATAACTTCTGAACATTGTAATAATCAAACAGAAATTGATATTTGATTAAATATGGTAAATATATAATGTCCTTTGACTACATCCAAAAAAAAAATAATAACAAAATAATAAACGAGAAATACCAATCAAATATGATTAATATATATAATTCAGAAAGTTTGTGTGTTTGTGTCTATTTCACAGTAGGGGACAATAAATTTCCCATTAGACCGGATCAAGAGAATATGAGAAATAGGAAAAAAAGAATATATGTAGTATGTATGTATAAAAAAAACTAATTAACCCAAAATATTTCAAATACCAAGTACTTCAAGTCCAACAGCTACTTGATCAAATACCATATACATCCACTCATAACGAACTAGTCTGCGCTAAATACACGAAGCAGCATCTGAGTTGGATACAATTAACCATATCATATGACCGACATAATACGAGATGTAAAACGAGATACACGGATGAAATATTAATAGTCTAATCTAATTATGAAGAAAAAGAGCTGTTCAGACATTATATATATAAAAATACTAAGGGGGTTCTTCTTCTTCGTCGTCGCCTACTTGATGTCTACTCTGATGCTGCACGCAATTCGCTCGCAGGTAGTGGGGTAAAATTATGGATATCAATGCCTCGAGATTTAAGTTCAGGTACAACGTGGAGAGGTACGAGTTGTTGAATAAGATCGGGACGAATGGAAAGTTCTTTATGATATAAAAGAGAGAGAGAGAGAGAGAGAGAGAGAGAGAGAATGTGTGTGTGTGTGTGTGTGTGTTTGTGTGTGTGTGAGCGATAGACGAAACATAAACTTGACAAACGGTGGACAGGATATGGTACATAAATTGCAGCGAGAATACGACAACCCCACCATAAATTCCATTTCACATACCTTGTGGTGTAAAATCAAATAATTTAGGTAATTCTTTGCCATTAGGCATTCTAGTCTCAGGATTGCGAAGTTCGTCAAAGAATGGGTGACACATTGCTTCAATGGCTGTTGACCTCTGGGATGGTGTATACTCTAGAAGCTTCGATATGAGATCAATAGCATCTGATGGTGTCCGAGTGCGGAATACCTGAATAAAAGTACAATGTAGTAACCGACCGAATTAGTGGCTGTGCAACAGAATATCTAGAACTAATAAATAACAGTCTTGATCGACGCTACCGGTTTCTGGTTGTAAGAAAATCTGCGGTAGCATATAATCTAACTATAATGAGTTCCATCATTACCTTTGAAAAAGGGTGTGGCTTAATTTGAGGAAACTTGTGTTCCATGTAGTTTGGATTCATGGTCTTAATTTGTTCCCTTGTTGGGGTACCTAAGACTTTAATGATCTCTACTAATTGGTCAATACCACTATCCCCTGGAAACAACGGCTGACCAAGCATCAATTCGGCCATTACACAACCCGTCGACCAAACGTCTATTATAATATAAGATTAATACGTCAGTAGAATGTTCGCATAATTCGACGCTAATACAATCTTAGCATGCTTGTCGGTAGTAAATAGCTGACATCTTGACTACGTAGAAATCGGTTCTGGGCCTGACAACCAATTGCTCATACGTAATTACATTCTAGAAACATTTTCTTCAAACTTACCAATATTAGTAGTATAGTTCGTAGCCCCAAAGATCAACTCAGGTGCCCTATAATACCTAGAACATATATAAGAAACATTGGGCTCGCCTGCTACCAAAATCTTTGCACTCCCAAAGTCACATAACTTCAATACACCAGTGTGTGGATTCAGAAGAAGATTCTGTGGTTTAATGTCACGATGACAGATACCCAGTAAATGGATATAAGCGAGCGATCGAAACAGCTGATACATGTAGAGTTTGATCAAAAGTATCGGCATGGTTTGTTTGGATTTGGCATATAAGCGAGATGCGCGGTAGACAGTTTCTGGAACGTATTCCAGAACTAGATTAAGAAACAGTTCGTCCTTCTTGTATAATGAAATAACATAAAGCATATTAGTTGAGAAAGCAAATAAGATAAATGTAGCATTTAAGGGACGGGGGAGTAGTAAAGAAGAGTCGGTAACAAATGAAAAAGTAAAAAAGGATAACACACAAATGATACAAGACTTTTAGAGCATGAACGAGGGAATGGGCTCAAATAAAAGCATACAAATAACGAGATCAGTTCATATTACATACCTTCTCACCAGGCGTATAGAAGAAGGCTTTCAAATCTACGATATTTGGGTGCGAAACTAATTTCATAATTTGTAGTTCTCGATTCTAATAGCACATAGACATGTTCCAGCCGAATTCACACAAATACGCAAGAAACCATTAATAATGACGACCAATACAATCACATATTCCTCTCTTTTCATCAAAACCATAAATGCATCCGTACCTTGAACCTCTTATCCTGCAGCACTTTCTTAATCGCGACCTCCTCACCAGTGTTTATTAGTTTTGCCTGGTATACGACGCCGAATGACCCATTCCCGATCACTTTAATGAAAGTGTAAGCCAGTTCGAAATCTTCGTTTATTTTCCCATGGCAGGCAACAACTCTATTCACCTTAAGGGGATCATTGTCACCTTTGAAATCAGTAAAAAGAGTTAAACCGAAAGAAGAGAGGGTGGGGAAGGGAAAAGTTGAAATGGTTAAGTTCGACAGAACATCAGCGGGGGTTCAGCTCTCATCCTCTGCTAGTTGCAATAAACACTCTACAGTCGTCGAAGGCTTGTTAGAGTAACTCACGGTACCAGATACCAATTCCGCACATACGACGACTATTGTTGAGTGGTAATTACACACGAAGCAAACTCCCACACTTTAATCTATCAAGTAATTAAGCCCAAGGCTTTGGGACATCTGGGAACTTACAAGGCTTTACCCCGTTTAGCGAAGGATGAGTAGAGTGAGCTGTTAGGGCTCGTTGGTCTGATGTGCTAGTGTCATTTGCGAGACCACTTCGGCGTTGTTTTGACGACATGATTATGAACGATAATATAGAGTTGAAACAATTTACAGAGCTGAATGATGCGAAAGCAAATTGGTAGTCATGTGCTGTACCACTCTAGCCTTTTGAGGGTGTAGATGATACAAAAGATATTAGCGGTTTTTTTAGGGTAAAAAAATCAGTTAAAAAAAGCAAGAAGGAAAATGGGGCTTTTTTTTTTTCCAGTTTATTTGAAATGTAACATAATGATTGTAATGATTGTAATGATTGTAATGATTGTAATGATTGTAGTGATGTAATGATTGTAATGGTTGCAATGGTTGCAATGGTTGTAATATGATTATCTTGTCCTCTAAGTTTAGGTTATATGGCTGCGGGGGAGGGGGCCAGGGAAAGGAGGGGAACCATAGACGTAAGTGATGGGCGCATTTTGTAATATGCGAAAGAAAAACGGTTGGATCACGTGAAATATTCGACAGACATCTTATGATGCAAGCGTATGTATCGATATAGTTTAGCTTCTTATCACACGAGTCAACGATTGTTATGATAGACAACGGAATCGCATTGCCAAATAAGCTGTACAATTCTTGTATAAAACAATTGCGCGTTATAATAAATTGTTGTAGTACATCGCGCTATTACTAGAACGGAAATTTCTGGGCGAATCGCACCATAATGGAATATGGTTTCAACCGACAGAACGGACAGGACCAACCTAACAAATTGTTTCTTTAATTGGGTAACCAGCATTCTCGAGTTGACAAAACGAAAGGAATTAGCTTCCATCTAATAAAGCAAATATTATGTAAATATTTTTTTTTGAAAACTTGGTACAGATGGGACTGGTTCATAGAGCCGGCACGCATATCACACATGTTATCACTGTTGAAAGAAAAGTCTTTGTATTTGGAAGCAAGTTTCTATTTAACGACAATGCTGTGTGCTACACGTGAATAAACAAGTCAATAGTACGCGTTGTTATTGATCGCGCTTTAACTGTATCCATTAGCGTGTTATTGTATTAACGTTTACGTCACAGTCTTAAAAGTCAGCTGTGTGGTATGTGTGTTCAGACCTCTTATAGGTGCGTAAAGACTTTAACAAAATAATATGCCACATCGGCCGTACATGAATTCGGTCTCTGAATCCGCTACTAGATTGCACGCAACGGCTCCCATTTGGACTTATAAAAAAGTATTTGAAAAAGTGCTTTTCCGGGTAAAAGTCTACCTTTGAAAGTGCATTGTTGAACGTACAGCTCAACTGACTGAAAAGTTGATCAACAGCTATTCTTATTTTTTTATCAGAGTTTCATAAACATGTTGCTGTTAAAGCTTTAAAAGTTTATTCACGGTAGAGGTATCTATCTATCCTGTGTGGTTTCGATAAAGGTAGAATAATTAAAATCGTACAAACTTGCAAAACAGTTGGTACAGGTAAGTATCAGTTAACTTACGTACTCGCAAGTTGATTCACATACATTATTATTGATTGACATTTTTATGTTTGTTCTCAGGAAACTCTGCATTGTCGACCTTATTTAGAAGAAGAAATAAGCCAGCAAACCAGCGCTTTCGTTTGGTTGGAATGATGAGAGTTTCAATTTCGCTAGAACAGTTTGGGTTATCCCAAGCGCCTATAGTAGAAAGTCTTTGCTATATACGGAGCAATCGATTGTACGTATTGAAACAACAACGCGCAATTGTCAATATGAAGATAAACTTTGATTGGTACGAGTAATGTTATACATATCATATTTAGATTCTTTGGAGCCATTTAATTCAAACAGAAGCATTATTGTCAATGACGTGCCAAGATTATGGAGAATGACGGTCAAGCTTTTAAAGGGGTTTAGCAGGCTTTTGCATTTGTGTCCAACAATATTGTATAATCAAGTGTATTTGAAATGAGGAAAGATTTTGTTTAACTTATTCCTAATTGTTCAGATTATTAGAATCCGCTAATACCAATACAATAACACATACAGAAGTACACTATGTACTACCTTTTGTATCGAACGCGCTAGATTTGTAAGCCACGTTCCAACAGTCAATTCTTCGTTTAACGTTGATCGGAAATGTCTGGTATCATAATGTTATGGCGATGAGCGATTTTCACGCCAAACAAGTTACCCTAACCGCACGTATTGCCCGCCATTGATGATTCCGATGGGATGCTTGCTTTTTTTTTAAAAATTGCACGACGTGTTTTAACATAATGCTTTTTAATGCATTGAGAAGGTCTCAGATAAGCACGATAATTTACGTAAAACACAATCTGAAATTAATCCACAAGAATACTCCAACTTATAAATATGCCGTAGATAAGTTATTATGGTAAAAATTAAATAAACAGAATAATAGTATTAGTATTGTAATTCGTGCTTTCATTTGCATTGTTGAGCATCGGGGACAGTATATGAATCAGTTCCACCCTCCTTTGTTGCAGTTTATTCTTTTAAATGAGATATAATCATCAATGGGAGAAATTAACGTCGTCGCTGGATATAACAATATTAAGTATAATAAGCAAGTCCACCCATGCCGAAAGCTAGAATTGCCCGACCAAATAATAACGGCTTGGCGGATAGTAATTTTTTTTCCCCGAAAAGTCAGTTTCACTCATTAACCTTTTATACGAATTTGTTAATTAAGCCCGTAATTTTTCAATGTCGAGACGAGGTAAATTTGATCGTCCAGTAATGCGTATCTACGATAAACCAAATTTGATAATTACCTGTACAAACTCAAACAATACAGACGTTAAACGTGTTGCGTATCCATATGCCTTCGAGAGTAGATATCTTGAAGGAGAAAAATAGCGACTGTTTTCATATTGTTTACTGATCCTTTTTTTTTTAGACAGTAAAAAGTACCTTGGAATGTGGCTCGGTTCCATCACTTTCAGAACAATACCCATTTAATAGGCTCTCCTCCGAAAAGAACTGATTGGAATGGTTTACATGGTGCATGGAAAAAACATTTTAGAACAGCTGCAGAAATACTTAATGTTAGGGAAAGTATGGATGTTTTAATTTTCTGCATCTATGGTATTCCTAGTCAGGTTTCGCCCTGTAATGCGGGTTGTTTAGGTGTTGTACTCGCCAGAGCGATGATGGGAAGCTCCAGTCAGGTTCACCCTGGACTGTGGTAGTTAGGTGTTGCCCTCAACCCCATCATTGCGATAATTGCTAGAGAAACCTATCCTAATTACATTTATATTTGACGCACCCGATTGGAATAGTATTATTATAATAAGACATGAGGTATGTTAAAAGAATTGAGCGTACAGTCCCGGAAAAAATAATTGCGGTGCTTATTAAATGCAATTTCCACAAAGTTTTACATACAAGTTAAACTTTTGGCAGTAATTAATGTTGTTCATGATAACAAATTCTACTTGTAATAAAGAGGTGATAAATTTCACAAAAAATTTTCAACATGTTTTTGGTCAAGAGCATTGTATAATAAAAAAGGTTGCAAATAAGGTAGCATTTGTTATTGTAAATGGTTTACTTAGTACTGGAAGATTATTTTTCTTAGTAAAAAATATGTCTGACATACGACCTATAGTTTTTTATCAAGTTATAACTTGTTCACTTGCTAAATTTTTAAAATTTAAAAATTTATTCTAAACATTATCGAAACATAAGCAATTAATCTTATGCATCAACTTTTTTAGAACGTAACCGTGTGCTTTTAAGCAAGATTTACTGTAAAAATATTTTTGCTGACCGCCATTAATATTTTTCCTGGACTGTAGCTTTTATCAATTAACGTGTATCGGTATGAAAACGAAAACGAAATTATTGGAAATCAATTAACGAAAAACCAAGAGAAACATCTTGCAGGTCATGAATCTAAAACGGTTGATGGGGAGGGAACAAACAACCTTCAGAAAGTACCGTCACCAGAGACTGTTGATTATGTTAAGTTGGTTAACGAAAACATTGTGCTTATCATTTATTTTACAGATGGATTTCATCAAATTGTCAGTAACACATACGATCAATTAACGAAAATATACTAAGAATTGCTGCTATGAATTTAGCAAAGCTGGATGGATCCAAGATATTTTGTTTAAAGATGCTAATTTTTTAAAGCATTTAGTAAATACTAAATGGTTTGCATTGAACAGTACTTTAGAATTTATTTCACATTTTATAAAGCCCAGCAAGATAACTTATTTTCGTAAATATATCCGAATAAGCAATCCAAAATTGATTTTCTAGGAGAACAGAGTAAGAGTTCCAAACTTGCTGAAATTACTGAACTTAAATGGGAGAAGGCTGAATTTTGGCTAAAGAAGCAGGGTTTATAGCTTCATTGAGATTTCCTTACACACGTCGCGTTTTTTTTAATCACGCTTTCTCTATAATAGCAACCCCTTGTTTTTTGTAATGTGCGTTTTGATAATAGGAAAATCAAAAGATTAAAATGAGACATGGCATTATTTCTCAATCGCAAGTTTATTAGCTGTTCCCATGTAGTCAACCCCCTATATATAGTCCCTTCATTAGTCACACCATATTAAATCCAGTCTATAGTCACACTGCCTAGCGCCAATTTCAATGATAAAAAACATAGTCACCATTATTTCAGCAGAGTGACTTAGTAATGGATAGACGTTGACTGTTATTGTTTTCCTATTTTGGAATATTTATTCCAAAGCCGTAATTATAGCCGAGTTGTGCAACACTTTCTAACCAATTATCGGACATATTATTAATTAGTATTAGTATTAGCGAATTAGCTGTATACTATATGAAACGGAATATCACCCTCTTCCCAAGCCAAAGATGTTCATTGAAATGTATTCTTTAATTTACAGTTCTTATATTATTTATTACGTAACAAACTGTCGGCGCCCCAAGGATACGACGTAAGATTTATTGACAATTGAACTTGCAAAAATCAATGCGGATGTCGAGCATTTGTCATATGTTCTTTGAGTGCATCGAGTGACTCCTATGGAAGCGAAAGTAAAAAAGAATGTTACGTGTCCATTAGCGATGCTTCAAAAATATTAAAGTTTACTCTTTACATAACCATTGCTTACATACCGCGTAAGAGCTCATCATTGGTTCCAATTTAGATGACTTAATACTGAGCTTCTTCACATCTTTCAAATGTCCGGCGCGTGACAGCATCTCTTTAAAGTAACGAGCCTACAAATTATGTTCGTCAGAACCAATCAGCTTCGTAGCTCAGAAAACAAATTTACTAGAATCACCGTAACATACTTCTTGTGTCTCTACAATTGAGTAAGCTATTCCTTCGCGTCCAGCACGCGCTGTTCTGCCAACCCGGTGAACATACTTTTTCATGTACACTGGAACATCGTAATTAATTACAACGTCCACACTGTCAAGATCCATACCACGAGCTATTAGATCAGAGGCGATTAATCTGTTTGGGTAATAGGAAAGTTGTAAGATTAATACCTTCTTAATATGCATACCAATAAGGCACTTGCGTAAAACTACGTACAGCTTAAGTTCTCCGTCTTTGAACCGTTTAAGAATGTTTGTTCTTTCTTGCTGAGACAAATCACTTGAATACTCTGACGCTGTGAATTTACCCTCTGGTCGATGTATCTTCTCGAAAAACTGAATCAACAGTGCTAGGCGGTGGGCAGACTCGACAGATTTGGTGAAACAAAGTGCCGACTTTATTTTAAGATTATGAATTATGTGGAGGACTATTAATGGTTTTTGCGAGGATTCGATGACTATCATGTATTCCTGGATATCAAAAAGGAGTGTGAATCGAACAATAATACACAGCGCAATAACGATCAAAAAATCGCATGTCAAGATACCTTTAATGTACTTGGGAGAGTATATCTGACATCATCGCTGGGAGCGCCTTGAACGGCAACATACCGCGGATTCTGTAGCTGTAGGCTTGCAATCTTGGCAGGGTTTCGGGTTAGAGTTGCCGAAAAGAGAAGTTTCTGAAGCTATTAGTGACAATACAGGTAAAACGTGTAAGCGATGTGAGTCCAAAACATTTCAAGTGTGGCATGTCTCATTTCTGATTTTTACTCACAGAACTTGTTTTAGAAATTGAAACGTCAGTCACTGGAATGTGAAAGACTGTCGATACCCAAGCAGGTGAGACAGCATCATGAATTGGAAACCTAAACAGCGAGGTCTTACATATAAAAGGGTTTCATCATCCCATAGAAACAAGTAATAAGCACAAATAAAACTTACCCATTTGAACCAACATCAGACATAGAATGTTCTCTAGCCTCCTTTTTTGGTTTTAATGCTTTGAGAACGGTAGATAACCAGTCTTGATAACTTTGATTAAGCAGTCTATCCGCTTCGTCTACTACCTAGAAGCTGTTTATAAGTAAAAAGTAAAAGGAGAGCAATTGCATGTTTATTGAAACATACTTACCAGAAATCGCAAGTGTTGTAGTGTAAAATTTGGTGTCGAATTTATGTGATCGATCAGACGACCCGGAGTTGCAATTAGTATATCAACCTTACTGCTTCCGCCTATAAGACTTGAATACGATTATTAATTAAAGCTGGATTCGTATACAGTTAAGAATATGTTCCATTACTTACATATCTTCGCTATTGTCAACGATTTGTGACTGTTCGTTAGCAAAGGATGTTTGCCCGGTCATTACTCCAACCTTTTGACAGTTGTAAGATTGTGTATATTAAGCTTGTTTCATATTATCGAAAGCTCTCAAAAACTTTCCTGTTTCGCTCACAAACCTTAAGATCCGTCCCCTTACAAAATGCATCAAAGTTTTCTTTTACCTGCGCGACCAAATCACGCGTTGGAAGAACAATTAGCGCCCGCAATCGACAGACTACGCGCGTCGAAAGAATCTACAAAAAGTCGGATAATTTTCAGACAAGACGCAAAGGAAAAAAAAAATAGACACGCTTTTCTTTTTCTTTACCTCAACAATAGGAATCACATAAGCAAGCGTTTTCCCACTTCCTGTTGGTGCCGATATACAAATGTCTCCAAATTGTCCATGAGAACTGTACAGAGAGTGTGTCTTGTCTTTCAACAAAAGTGGTAGAACTGCTGTCTGAACTGGCGTAAATGCAATCAGGCGTCCCATTGAGTATGTATATAAGCTAGTAACCTGTAAAAATGCATAACTTGAGTGATGAAACTTTCATCGTTACTTTACCTGCAAAAAACTCGGTAATCCCTAACGTTTGACAATTATCTAGAGTAGATTGGGAAAGTTTGACGTTTATCTTGTCAATAGTCTCTGATTTTGATGGATCAACGATTATTGGATTAGCAAGCCAGGCGGGAAGTCCTAGTTTTTTTAATTGTAATTTGGCTTGTTGGCTGAGAACGCGCGGTACGAATTTAGGGAAAGCTTGGAGCGGTTGTGCGCTGGCGAGAGAGGTTGAAGGTTCGGACGAGGGTTGCAATGGCTCTGAAGTGTCTGTAATGGGTTCCTCTGGTACCGTAGCTTGAGGCGATTTTTTTTCTCGTCTTTTTTTTTTTTTTTTAGGCTCGGGGTTTTGTTCGATTGGATATTTTTCTTGCTCATTCTCAATGACTCCACGTTTTCTTTTACTTCTCTTATTCACAAACTGATTAATCTTAAGTAGCCTCTCGTTAGCGACTTTATCCTCTTGTCTTGCATTTTCCTCTCCAGCGCCATATCTTTCTATACTAAACATTTGTATTTACCGAGTTGCGTCTACCAAAAAAAAAAATTTTAAAAATTGTCAAGTGTTACAAGATGCCACATAACAATAGCATTATCATAAACGCCAAATAAATTTGACACGAAAAAATATTACTTATACTGGAAATAATTGCTATGAAAAAGTCAAGTCAAATAATTTATTAATGCTTGGCTGTCTTCAGGTTATAAGATTACAGAGTTGAATAAGTTATAATCATTAGTATATGATCATCCGCTTGTTTATGATTTTCAGCTATTAGATTATGGATTCATTATATGACCTTACATAATTCGTCTTCACATCCGTATCGATTTGAAACAAAGTTTTCATTGCGACTAATTTTCCATATCCACCACCACCATCGAAAGGCGTACGATCTATAATATTATCTTCCGCATAGTGTTTGATAAAGCCTGCCTGGATACTCTAGCTAACCACTCTTTATATGTGTTGTTGGACGATTGACTTTGTTAACGTTAGCGTTTAGCGTTAGTGAATACAGAGTACATAATACGGTCGATCGCCTCTCATGTGATATCGTAATTATTCAAACGAACGAAATGTCTTCAACTATTACCTCTAAAGTTCCTCTACCCACTTCACCTCTTTCGCTTCTGTTGCAGCCCTACCTAAAGTTACTAACTATTACTTGATTCTAACTTTATATGAGAGTAGATCACTGTTAAACAGTCTTTTATTAAACGATATAATAAATGACTTCGGTTTTAAATTCATAAGCAAGAACTCTCTAATGACAGTAACGAGTTTCTAGCTCATGATTCATTTGAAAAGGCTTTCCGATTATGGGGTCGGGTATCCTTGTCAGGAGGCGGCAGCACATGGCGTGCTTTTTGAAAAGGGGTGATGATAGAAAACTTTAATCAGCAATCGCTGTCTGAAAAATGAAGCATTAA